CCTTTTGAAAAAGCACCTGTGGGATAACAATATCTATGGGTTGCTGGTGGCATTACTGCCGGGTTGGCGTGCAAAAAATTCTGAGGGATGGCTCAGCGGTAAAAGCTGCCGAGCTCCTCCGCTGGAAACCCAACAGCCAGGTTCAAGATCCAAAGCACAGCACAACGGAGCGAGTTCCTGTTCCTTGCCCCAGATCCTGCCCACCTAGCAGTTCTAGAGCATGCAAATGTGAATAGATAAATAGGCACCAATTTGGTGGGAAGGTAACAGTGTTCTGTGCACCTCAGTACATAGTCATGTTGGCCACATGACCATGGAAGAGTCTTTGGACAATGCTGGTTCACTCGGTTAAGAAACAGAGATGAACACCGCCCTTAAAGTTGGACGTGACTGGCATTCTGACCCAGCCTTTGCAAGTAGTAATTAAGACATTTACTTGTGAGTAAAACAAACTCCTCTTTGTAACCGGGCAGTAACAGTCTTTTATTCACATAGTTAAACAAAAAAAACCAAACATAATTAGTTCCAATAAACTTGGTTCTGGCCAAGGAATCTGAATTGATTGCTGTATACTAGAAAAAGGACTGTTGTCTATGACAACCGGCCACTCCTAAACCCATCCTATTTATTTCCCAACCAGGGAGGAGCTGGCTATTGTCTGCATCTGCCTCTCCCTGAGAGCCGGCTTACTGCTTTCCTTTGTTCTCCTCTCCTCTCTTCTCCCCTCTCCTCCAATTCTCCGCTCTCCACCCACCCTCTGCTATGCTGTCTTTTCTTTTCCTCTTCTTTCCTCTCCACTCCATGCATACTGTATATGCAACTAGGATGTGCCCCATCTGTTCCTCCCCCTCACTGAGCTCAGGCCTCGAAGACAGCTGCCTCTCCACCTGGGGGAGGATGGTAGGCCCTGGCTGTTTCCCTATCAGAGCCTCCCAAAGGCTCCGAAGCTGGTCCAGGACCACCCCCCCCCCATTGTGGATTTCAAAAATTGTTCGAATCTACTCTGTGGGTGTGGCCTCTTTTGTGGGAGTGGCTTGCNAGACTCAGGGCGGCTTACAATTCGAAAGGAGGGGAAAACAAACAGATTAACACATAAGACAGTACATCATTAAAAGCACAACATTCATACAATTTGGGTGGGTTACGGTCTTTAACCCCCAGGCCTGACGGGATAGCCAGGTTTTAAGGGCTGTGCGGAAGGTCTGGAGGGTGGTGAGGGTACGAATCTCCACAGGGAGATCGTTCCATAGGGTCGGAGCTGCCACCGACCTGAACTACAGCCTCAGCAAGCATTGGGTTGGAGTATTGAAGGCAGCCTTATCTTCTACCTCTTCTTTGCTACTTTCGCAACAACTTTCCAACGTCCTTAACGTTTTTATGGTGAGTTTTCCTAGCATACGGATTGGCTCCACATACAGGTTGTGTTGGCCAACGCATAAAAAATTGTAATGTCAGGCCATGCATATGTTGCTTAGATGTTACTGAGAGAGGAGTGGAAAATATTGCTTGTCCCTTGATGGAGAAACTGTCACAGATACATAAGATGCATTATTTATTTCCCAACAAACCCCGGTACAATTCCCCTGTGGCTGCATGGCAGGGAAGTAAGGTTTATGATAGCACAAGGGCAGCAGCTAATTAAATTTTAGTTATTCTGTGTAACACTTTGGGAAGATGAAATGCACAGGGAGAAGAGCCTAATGTTTGCTCTGCAGACTTATTGAACCAATGTTATGGGTTAATTTACTATATGGGAGATTTTTACAGCATCAGCAACAGCCATAATTTCTAAATTCATTCCCGTTAGACAGTAAAACTAGTTATATATTTTGACTGTTATCCAAGAATATATTTAAGCTTTTTTTATTGCTATTATTGTTGTTTAAACTGACATTAGACATTAGTTCCCAGATAAATCTCTGGGATCTATCGAGTGACATTATTTATACCGGTTTAATCAAAGCTGGATGGGAATTTGAGAGATAGAATTTCTGATTTTGGTGCAATTGTTAATTCTTTGGGTCATCTGAGGACTTTGATACACCTAGTCTACCCTGAAAAGTGAGAACCTAGTTTTCTTTTGTTTCACTTTTAGCATCTTGTGGGTTTCTTTCAAATTTAAATTAAGTGGGTTACCATCGAATCTACCATCTTAAAGTTCCTGAAAAAGCTATAGACAAAAGACAAAATAAACAAATAGATAGACAAAATATTGAGCCACAGTGGCACAGTGGTTAGATGCAGTACTGCAGGCTACTTCTGCTGCTTGCTGGCTGCCTGCAATTGTGCAGTTCAATTCTCACCAGGCTCAAAGTTGACTTAGCCTTCCCTTCTTCCAGTGTGGGTAAAATAAGGACCCAGATTGTTGGGGGCAAAATGCTGACTCTGTAAACCACCTAGAGAGTGCTGTAAAGCACTGTAAAGCGATACATAAGTCTAAGTGCTATTGCTATTGTTAAACAAAATGCAACTTAAAACATTGTTCTAAAGGGAAACTTTAAACTGTAAGATACATTTTAAAAATTAATATTTTATCTATAACTTGCAATTTTTTAAATTTGTTATTGTATAGGTTATGTTTTTATCCATATCTTTCATCTTTTGCTCAAATACCTACAAAATATTTAGTTAGTTGGTATTATTCCTTACTGTAGCATGACTACCAAGTTTTTTTTGCTTCCTGTTCACTCAAGGATAAACTTATTTCCATTGGAGTTATTAGCATCTCATCACATGTCACCATTTTCTCTCGTATGCACAAAGCCATTCCCATTGTGGGAAACTTAAGAATGTAGTTCCTAACTAAT